CCCCCCAAATAAATGCAGCATTGGGCATGCCAACACACTTGCTGTGAGCAGCTGCTGGCTGCCTCTTCCACCCCTCTGGAGCGTGGTACAGTTCAGGTCCCCAGAGTATTCGGAGGGTTCGGTGTGACCGTGCTACCACGAGCAGAACGCGACTCGGGCAGTGGATACACAGCTTCACTGGCCCACTTTTTAATTGTGTCCATGTGCCTGTCATTATCTAGCTTCCCTTCTTCAGCTTCTGGAGGTATTCCTTGTCTGTCAATTAGATCTTTTTCATGGGGCTTTGCATCTAACACTGTAATGCTTATCCTGTCAGTTAAATGCTTGGCTCCGACAGAATAGAAATCATATGCTTTTAATCATGTCTAACATTAGCTCTAAAGCTCACTGACGGGAGCACAGCCTTCTAAAGAGCTTATCTGTGTAAGCTTATGATGTAGTGAACACCAGTTTTCAGCTGCAAGACATTAAAAATATTTTGAAACACAATAAGTATACAATGTCAATCACTATGCTGTGCTGTTGTCTTGGTACCATTTAAGTACGAATTTTAGGGGCAACTGGCTTGCAATTTAAGTGTGTTCAATATTAAGTATAAGACAAATGAACGAAGCAAAGAGGGGTTTGGTATGTTTGAGATAAGATTCTGGATTTTTATATATATGCTGAATTTACATGTAATGGTCTCCTTGTGTGGTTGGTATCACTGTGATATCTATATTTTGCTTTTTGTCATGACTGGTTTGTCATTTGTTTTTGTGCAGGAAATCTTGTTGGATAATTCTGTGTTGGTAGGTCCTTGTGCCTTGTTAATCCTAAACTTTTGCAGTTTGCAGTGGTGTTTTTTATTTCATCTTTTATCTTTTCCTTTTAACCATTTTAATGTGATTTCTTTTAGCATGTCAAGTGACATTTGATTGTCATCCTAACCAGACCCTTCCTAACTTTCTGCAGATGGCAGATATACATTTCATTTACGGCCTTAGTGAGGCATAACTTTATTTTTAATATGTTAAGCACAGAAAGGGAACTGTTTGTTCATTTAAGTTTGTGTGTGATGCTTGCATTTTTTCTCTGTTACTTAGTCTTGTCCCCTGCTTAGAACATGGGAGAATGAGGGAGATGAAAAATGTGCATCTTGCTTTATTCAGTAGCCTGAACTGGATCTTCTGTTTTTCCCTATTAAAAAAGAGCACGCAATTTGTGCATGTCCAACTTGCAGTAGAACGTGTAGCCTGCTTGCATACGTGTTGCATTAAAAGCCTCACTTGTTTTTAAACTTTCAACTAAAGTGTGTTGCAGACATATTTACTGAGTCAGGTTTCTTTTCTCTTGGAAGAATTATGCAGAGAGAAAATCTTTGTGTATTAAATATGTAATTTTAAATATCGTAGATTCATGTACATGCATAGAAATTGGGAAGACAAAGCTTAATTTTGTTAATGTAACAAAGCTGAAGTTCTGCATCACTTATTTTTGTCCTTAACTTGTTGGTTTTAACTCTATATTAATTAGTATATATTAGTCATTTTGACTAAAATATATTGATCTGTTGCTTTCAAATAAGAAGCATGACCTTACTGCAAGGTTTCCCTGCAGCAGACACTCAGCAGCTCTGTCTGTTTTAAGGATGGTGGCAGCTAAGGGTGCACAATTGCTTAGTTGTAGAGAAAAACTTTTTTTGATAACCTAAGTTTAATTTAAAAGAAGCTGCATGAATATTGATATAGCCATCTTGCCTGACCACACAGCTGGTTAATTGTATCTGTGGGATCCTCTTCATAATGTTCTTAAAATAGAAAGCAAGCAAGTAAAAATCAGAAAGCTCCACTCTAACAGAAAAACCTTGAAGCTGTGTCTTGGGTTTTTAAAGTGTTTTTCCTTGTTCCTGTAGTAATGAATCTGTTATCTTGTATTTTTCAGTATAAGAAACATCAGACACTAATCTGATGGTGTTAAAGGGTGATGCTATAAACTTCTTTGCTAGAACCTGCTCAGGAGATCTGACTTGTCTCAGTGTGATACATTTACCAGTAACTCTCATCCTTCCTCTCACCTGCTCTAAAACATCATTTAATATAATCCCTGTATATAACGTTTTTGCGATGAGAGCAGTGTTCTCTTTGTCCTTTCTTAATAAACTTCCTTTCATGCATGGAGTTCAGATTCACTAAAGCCTGATTGACTGTCACACCCGTGGTTACATTGGCATTTCTCTAGTTACATCTGAGGATGATTTGAGTAATTTTCTCTCACGCTGAGTTTTCAAGCTCCTTATATATACCCTGCAGTCAAAGAATAGAGTTAATTGTTCACTGAGACCACAATTTGGCTGTTGTTGAAGTTAATGGAGGTCTTTCTACTGGTATCAGTGGGAGCTGGATCTGTCCCCAAACCAGTCTTGTAAGTTACCATTGGAGAGAAAACGTTAAAAGTGCTGATATGTTAAAACTGATACAGGAGTTGCAAAACCTTTTATTTGAGGTTTGTTTTTTTTTTAAAAAAAAAAAAAAAAGCTGAGCAAAAAATAGCGTCAATGACATGCTTACTGTCCTCACAGCTTTGTCATAACTGCAGTCGTTCAGAAAATACTCTTTCTTCTTCCATGTTTCAGGTGAATCTCTGTAGCTCGTATTTATTATTGAGACGTGCAGTGGTAGCTTGCTTACGTCAGCTTGTGCAAAGAGAAGCTGCTGAGGTATCAGAATATGCTGTTGCATTAGTTAAAGAGAACAGAGAAGACTTTACTCCAGGTAATGTATGGAAGTTTTGAGATCAAAGAGCTTGACACATTGATAGTAAATTTTAAACACACTATACTATGGGGATGAAAACTTTATGTTCTTGAAATCTTAACTCAAAAGGGCTTTCTGTTTCAGTTCTCTGTATAGTACTGAATTTTTGAAGCACACAAACCCTTTCTTTGTGATAAAATGAAGATATGTTGCTTTTCATATACTGTAGACAGTAAGGGTTACTAAATGAGAAAATACAAGTGGAGTTCCAGAGAAGCCTAAGCCTCTCTAGCCAGTAGCTGTTGTAGTAACTGCTTCATAGTCCTGCATTTTACATGCATATTCATAATTTTATTTTCTCACATACATCTCTTTTTAAATTAAAAATCTCTCACTGGGGGAAGGTGTACAAAGCCTGTTGAAGTAAGTTTCTGTTGATCTCTTGGAGAACTAATTAAGTAATGATCAGCTAGGGTCCCTAGAATTTTTAACTTCCTAAGGGTTTTGGTTTTGTGCTAAAAGGCCTGAGAACGAGCACTAGTTCATCACATGCCTTTCTGTGAGGGGACAGTGAGTGACATTTATTTTATTTCACTTTGGATTTCAATTCAAGCTCGTTTGGAAATTTTCAGAAAAGATAGGCTATAGTCATTTTGCAAAAATTCTGATTTTTAAAATAGGTAATACTGGGCAAATTAAAATTGCTCATATTCATTTAACAAATTATTTTGGTGTGTCTGGTTTTGAGCTTTGTTAGAGAATAATTTTAACTTCCCTTTCAAGTTAAAACATTATTTTAGAATCACCTTATGAGTCAGTGTGAAGAATCAGATGGCCATAGGTAATTTTTTTCACGATTTCAGATGCTGTGGTGATGGTAATGCTGTGAGATTCAGAGTTGGATTCTTTTTTTTTTCTGGGGTAATTTTGTTCCTGTTGATAGTATGTTTCTGTAAAAGTTGAAAGTTTGTTTTGTACTCAGATGATTTAGATATGGTATTAAAGCAATTAATACTATTATTTCAAATGTATTTCAGGGCTAGATACTTGCTCACAAGATAACTCTGTGTGCAAACTTTAGTGGGATTTCTGTGGTCATTACTGCAGTTTTGCGATGTGCAGCATTCAGCTCACAGTCTGTCTTCTTAGCAGATGTTAACATCAGGGAAATAGGCCTGGAGGGGGCATTGCTGGGCTTGCTGGACAAAGAATTGGATCAAAGATTGTGCCAAGATATCAAAGAGACTCTGACTCATATGCTGACTTCAATGGCAGTTGAAAAGCTCTCTTTTTGGCTGAAGCTTTGTAAAGATGTTCTTGCTGCCTCAGCTGGTAAGTCTTAAAACACTGCGGTTGAGAACACAATGAACACAAGGCCCGCAGCAGTACCGTACGTCACTGAGGGAAAGTATCTTTTGTTTCTTGAATGTCTGACATTTATGAAGCGTATCCTTGTCCTTCATATTGCAATATTGGACCTTTTAACTTAGTTCTTCCAGAAGGAATGTGACTTTCGCTCTTCTGATTCCCTTTTCCCTGTTGAACAAGTGTTTTTAAACATTTTAGTATGTTATGCCTGTTCATATTCTTGTTGATCTATAGTCCTGTTGTTAACTTATTTCCATATCAGAAATGGAAGTGCAGTATACATTTGAGCTTGTGGGTCCTGTGCATTTACCCTATTAATAATAGGAATGTTACAGACCTACTATATCATAATGAAACTCCTGAGCAGATAAAATTTTTTACTGTGCTGAATATTGGGGGAACAGAGGGTGGGGGAATTCTTTTCTTTTACCTTCAGTGCAGGAGGAAAACTTGGATTTAGATTTTTTTTTTTTTTTTTTTTTTTATTTGGAAAGGCACTAGCTTGTGATGTGTCACACTTATTTTAAAAGGGCTTTTTTTCTTTCACTTCTTTCACTGCAGTTCTTAATTTACTTTCATGATACTGACCTTCTCTTCCAGCAAGTAATGTCAACCAAATGCAGACAGTTTTGTTACATTTTATTTTTAATTCTAGCAATTACTTTAAGACACCAAGGTTGAAGAGAGTCATAGTGAGTTGGAGGCTAGAGATGGGACTTTGAAGAGATTTTTCTTATGAGTCCTTCTGTAGTTTTCAGTTACAGTAAGAAAGAATATTACATTTCTTCTTTTTTTCCCCTCCTGTGTCCCAAATACAGATTTCAATACAGTAGCTTCAATAGATACCACTCAAGAAGAGGAAACTGCCAAAGTGGATGATGCATCTGTTTTAACATCTGACAGTGATGAGAGGTCCCATCCTTTCAGTAATCCACGATGGTCTACCAGAGTTTTTGCTGCAGAGTGCGTTTGTAAAATTATAAGCCAGTGTGAAAATGCAGGCAGTGCACATTTTGACATAACTTTGGCTCAGGAAAGGAAGCAACGTGATTCAAGAGGTATGTGTTAAGCACTGAAAGAATTTCACAGAATGCTAAGTATGCTTAAAATAAATGTTAGCTGTTTGCATCTTAATGAAATTAATCATAAATTTGTTGTTTGTAATTGTTGAAACCTTTAATTACTCTGATTAGAAGTCTATATTTATTAAGGTGTAGAGCAATTTTTATTTGCCAAAAACATTGGCATATCGCTGCAGTATTTACACTGACTTTCCTGGTTTTAGTACCATGGTATATGTGTAGGAGGCTATTGTTTCTGTGTAAGGATTGGCAATCAGAAGTGATAACTGGCACCAGCCTACAACATCACAGTTTGGTATCTGGGAGTATGACTAAAAAAAACTCATATTTTTTTTCTTTGCATAATTACCAGTAGAAACACAGTGCCAATTTTCAGTACCTCTCTATAGTTAACTGGAGGTGTTGTCCTCAAAACTCATTTTTAGGAAATCTGCCTCATACATAAAGATACTTATTCTTTATTCAAAATACTTTTTTTTTTTTTCACATTCAAATGGAAGGGAGCATAGATCAGCTAACATAAGATGGCCAAGTAAGATTGTTGTATATGTAAACTGCCTTAAGGGGATCCTTGATATGTGGTAAGGTAAAATGTAAAATATACATTTTGAAAACTTTGTGAGCAGTCTTATAAAATATATTATGTATAAATTTAAATTTAATAAAACTATTTTCTTTTTTAATTTCTTTTTTCTTTTCAGATGACTTTTTGGTATTGCATTTAGCTGACTTGATTCGTATGGCTTTTATGGCTGCCACAGATCACAGTGATCAACTTCGTCTTTCTGGGCTTCAAACATTGCTGATCCTTGTTCGGAAGTTTGCAGCTGTTCCAGAACCAGAGTTTCCAGGTCATGTAATTCTGGAGCAGTATCAAGCCAATGTAAGCACTATAGCCAGTAACTAAGAAAAGTTTAGAGTTACAGTTAATCACTAAAAGAAATTTGCTTTTTGCAGTGCTAGAGTTGGGTTTCAGTTAGTTTGTTACTGAAACTATGATAACTTTCTTCAGACCTAACTACCTTAAAAAGCATCTTTTAATTTGGCATATAATGTTTTAACCCCAAAGTTTTTCAAGTTACAGCATTTTTTCCCTTTTCCGTATTTGAAAACAGCAAAAAGAAAATAGAAGATTGGGATATTTTTTGGTAAATATTGGTTTCAAAGTATGGAAGTATTGCAAGAAATATTAGGAACAACTATCACTTAAAACTCTATTTAGAAGTAAGTAACCTTTGCACACCAGAGATCACACTGAGAGATCTTGATCAATAAATAAGCTAGAGGAGGTAAAAGCATGGATTGTACTCACAAGGTCTCTTTCAGTTAAGTCTTGCTTGAGACTTACAGAAAAGATGTCCTGATCATTTTGCATTCCAGGCTGCACTTGTGTTAAATATGACAGGCAGCTGTGCTAAGCCTCATCTGGCTCCCATTCTTCAATTTCTAGTAGGCACTGAATAAGTCAGATCACTTTCTCTCATAGAAATTGAGAGATCCCGACGCTGAAGACATTCTAACCCACTTTGATCTTGTTTTTGCCATTAGAATTCTATTTTACTAGCACTTCTTTGTGGCAAAGGAGTGATCTAGTCTGGAACTATCAGGAGAAAAAAAATACACCGTCTGTCCTTGCTCTCCAAAACCATCAAGCAGGTCACAAGTAAAGCTAATAATTCTCCTTTTAACCTTCACTACCCTTAAAGTGTCTCTGCTAATGCTATGCATAGATCTTCTCATCAGCTGTTTCATAGAAGTTGAAAAGATGTGAAGCAGTTAAATATCTAGTCTTTTTCTTGTGAATTTTTTTCCATAACAGTAACCAGAAATAGATTAATATAGATTTTTTCAGACTTAAGTAATGGTTTCCTGAAGTCTTGTTCAGAAGTTCCTTAAATGAGGTCTGAGCTTTAGAGGGTCTTAAGAAATTGTCATTAATTGTAATTAAAAACAACTCCTTTTCACTTATTTTCACAAACTTGTATTTGTAGTACTTGTGCTACACTTTGTACTTTCATCCCAAAGAGCATGAGACTGAAGTCTGAGTTTTCAGATACCAGCTAAAGCAGCAAGGGAAATTTTAATTAGCTTTTAGTGAAATAGCTTTCAACAGTGAGAACAGGTAAAATCTCTGCCACCTAGTAAGCACATGTTTGTATGTTCTAGGCAAATGGGGTTTGTACTCTCCCCTTTCCCTTTGCAAAGTTGACCAGCTTCAGCTGTTTGCTTCCTTAAATCTATATTCTTTCTGAGTAAGGAAATGTCACTCATTAGGTGTCTTGCAAGTGGTTTGGAACATTGTTTTTCTTTTGAGGACTACTCACCAAGTCAAGCGTTCGGGAAGGAGGAGGTTTCTGTTTCAGTTTTAGACTGAAAAAAAATAGAATCAACTGTGAAGACCCTTCTCAAAAAAGAGCCGTGTCTTCAGTGTAAGCAAAACAAAACAATGAGTATTACTGCACCTGTATTCCTGTTCTTTAACCTCACTGAAACAGTCTGTGGAAAAGTGAAAAGGGAGCTGTGCTTTATAAAGGAAAAGTGCCACAAAGCCTACTTAGGAAAAGTAATTATTTTTTTTAATTGTCCACTATGTATTAAATGTTGTATAACTTCTCTTTAGGTTGGAGCAGCACTTAGGCCGGCCTTTGCTTCTGAAACCCCTCCTGATGTCACAGCAAAAGCATGTCAGGCAAGTGTTGACAGTCAGAAGTCTTAGGTAACAGACCTTCTGAAATTTTCTTTTTGTTTGATATATCACACAAGAAAAAGGAAATAAATCATCTAGCCTCATATCCTCAATGCACATAAAATAATGTCACAACTTTGTAGCAGTTGGTATTTTGGCTGTTATTTATGACATTCTTATAATGCTTTTGACTTTCATTACTTATGTATGCTAAACTGTAATGTCATTGAACATTTATTATTATCCAAGAGTAGCTGTATCTCAGTAGAAATTAAATCTGGTTTTCATAATTTTACAGATTGGAAAAATGAGTATCCAGTGGTGGTTGGCTCTTGTTTCTCATTATTTCTGTTTTACAACGCTAGGTGTGCAGTGCCTGGATAGCAAGTGGTGTAGTAAGTGATCTTAATGACCTTCGAAGGGTTCACCAGTTGCTTGTATCTTCTTTGGTCAAAGTGCAGGCTGGGAAAGAAGCACAAAGTCAACAATATAATGAAAGCACCTCAACTATGGAGATACTGGCTGTGCTTAAGGCTTGGGCAGAGGTTAGTGTAACAGCTCTGTAATGATAGTCTTGATATCTGGTAGGTGAGTTAGAACCTTTCAGACAGAATGGTGTCAGGAATTTCTTACATACTTCATTAAACAGAAGTTGCTGGTCCTTTGATTTGCTTTGATACCTCTAAATAGTATAGGAACTTTTTAAACTTGACAAAAGCACTGCTAGTTAAACTGTTTATATTGTACTATATATTAAAAAAATATGTCTAGTACTTAAGAAGTATGAATTTCTTAATATGTTTTAATACTTATTTTAAATTGGCATGGTATAAATAGCTACGGTGACGATCCACTTTAAATAGGTATGATTTTTCTCACTGTCTGTCATCATTTAATTTCTTACAGGTAGTTCTTGTAAGTTAACAATGTCAGTTCAGTACTGCATTGGCTAACTGCCTTAAAGCCAGCTCATGTGAATGGCTGTTTTAATATATGTAAATACCAGGTTAGATATTTGAAAATCAAAAATGTGATTAATGTATGTAATCTCTAGACAATGTGTTTTAGAAAGCACTGATAATGACCTTGGATGCTGATGGTTGATATGAGAATGTTATGTAGTTAATATGATATTTTGCTGTATAACCAGGGAACTATTTTCAGGAGAAAGAAAGCAATAGATAGCTTTTATGTGAACACTTGCAGAAAAACATACCAACCTCTGGTGTCCATACTTGAGAAAGGATATTGGCAAAATAGAAAAGCCATTGGAGAAAAGCTCGCAAGTGGGAATAAAAATCTTGAAAACATGCTTACACCAAGAGATTTAAATACATCAGTCTATTTCATCTGTTCAGGAAAAGTTAAGGTGCTGTGATCAATTTAAAATTACTATATGGAAAAAAGGTTTTTAATGGCATGTAACAATAACCTGTCACTTATCAGAAGCTGAGACAAAATTCAGACTAGGTGTGACTCTCAACTGTTAAAAACGAAGATCTGTAGATTGTTCCAGTCTGTAATTAAGATCACTAGAAATCTTCAAAGCAAACTCTATATTACTTTCTACTGGATCTCGGGTATGAGAAACTATGACAAAGTAAACTGGGGATAAGGTTTTGTGACTTGTAATTTCCAAGTATTTCACTTAAGCCCTATGTGGTTCCTTCTCACTTAGGATCTTACCTGTTACTTGTTTCCAGAATTTGAAGGAATTACCCCATCCTGTTGTGGGGAGGAGTGAGAGAGGGGCTTGGTGGATGCTTAGTTGCTGGCCTGTGTTAACCGACTACAACTAGCAAAATTGAAAAAGATACAGAAATCATAAGGGACATTGCTTAGGGACATGGCTTAGTCAGGGACTTATCAGTGTTAGGTTAATGATTGGACTTGATGATCTAGGCAATTCTGTGACTGTAATTGCAGGAGATGGATACTCATAGAAGCTAACTTTAGATTAGTTGAACTAGTCTCCTATGTCTCCCTTATTGCTGAGGAGAAAAGCTTCCCCCCAGGGGCATTTTGGAGAGACCAAAAGGGGGCTGCTGGTCTGAAACAGTCTCAAGCCTGTCTTTTTCGATAACTGGAGAGGCATCTAGGGAAATTAACCTTCTCACATTGAAGTTAGTTAACCTATTGATGGTAGCACCCAAAGTTTGCAAATGATGCAAGACTGTATTCTTCATTTGTTACTGCTAACACAGAGTAATACATAGTTTTGAGACGTTGGTTGCGAGTGTAATATGTCATTTCAATTTAAATATCTAAGAATTATTTGACTGTGGTTTCAGGATTCATTATTATAGGTATATTATTTGATAATAAGTTCTTCAGTCTTGTAGCTATAACTATAACAGGGTTTGATGGTTGGAAGCTAAAGCTGGACAAGTAATATATTAAATTTTAAAAGCAGGGAAGTTAACTGCAGCAGTGTTTAGGAATTTTAATAGGTTTCCCTTTATTGGAACTCTTACATCAAGATTAGCTGTGGGCATGGATTCAGAAAGTTTAGAAAATAAGTACTTGTTCACCCATGCCTACTGGACTTGAAGCAGGAATAGATTGTAGGAAACCTCATGCCTGCTCAACAGGCAATTATGCTAATAATCACAGTAGTTTTCCAAGTGTTAATATTTGGAAATCTCTCTCCAAATATATAAACAGGTTTACATAGTTGCAGTTGAAAAGCAGAAAAATCAAAGTGATGCACACCATCATTGTTTAAAAATTGCAAACTCTGCAGAAGAAAGCTACAGAGATGTAACATCTTCAGCCAGTGGACTTCTGGACTTAGTACAGGCAGATCTTGGAACGCTGAGCAAGCTCTGGCTTGCTGCACTTCAGGATTTTGCTCTCTTAACTTTGCCTTCAGAATATGCATCACAGCTGCCTGCTGAAGGTAAGAAGGCAAATCAATTGTATTTTCATAGGTCACTTGTAAGTACACATCATTAATGTCCTAGCTGACTTGTGTTAAGATCACAGTAGGATTAAACTGTGTAGAAAATACACATCCTTGTGTACCTGTCTAAAGGTAAGGACTGCTTTTCAGAACAGAGGTTTCACTGTAGCTTGTTTGGTATTCTTGTTTGTTGGGTAATTTTATGGTTGAAAGAAGAAAAAGGTAATTGTATTGGATTGTGTCCAAATAAATCTAAATGAAGTGCCCTCATTAGTCTGAATTTTAGTATTGCAACATTTAAAAAAAAAAATCATACATAAAAGAGGTAAATATAATTTCACTAAAAAGAAGAGTCCCCTTTTATAAGAATGAGGAAATATGGTAGTTTAAAATAAATTGCATCCTTAAAACTGTAACTTCTCTTCTTGTAGGTGGTGCATTTTATGCAGCGGAGACAATTGAAAATGCCAGACCTCATTACTACAACTCCTGGGCACTGATACTTTATGCTACAGCATTATGGCTCACTAGCACAGGTTTCATTGTTGTTGATCCAGATGAAGGAGTTACTAATCTCTCTAGACCTGTCACCCCAACTACAATGTGTCAAGATTCTTCTACTAGGCCCTTGGTGAAATCTCCTGAGGATGTGAATACTGACAGATTTCATCTTATCTTGGGTTAGTGAGTGCATAATCTGTCTAGAGGCTGTAACACAAAATGTCATTTTTAATAGATAAAACTGTTAGCAAACAAATTTTTATTCACATTTAACTGCATCATTGAATACTGAATCTCTTAGAAAAATATAGTCAGAGAATTTTTAAGTCCTAGTGAGAAAATTGTAGAGTGCTTTCCCAAATGTGGTAGAAAAGACACTCAGTGTGAGCTAAAGAAGTTCTAAGCAAGTGCTTACTGCTTTACTCATAAACATGCAGGTTCAGGGGTGGATTTTATCATGGTTGTAGCACTACAGTTAGAGTGTATGGTTCAGCATCACTGAAGTACAGTTTTACATCACAGAATACTGTGTAGTTTGGAAGGGACTTGTGGAGGTCATCTTGTCCACCACCTTGCTCAAGCAGGGCCACCTAAAGCCCAGGACTGTGTCCAGATGGCTTTTGAATATCTCCAAGGATGGAAACTCCACAACCTCTCTGTGCAACCTGTGCCAGTGCTCGGTCACCCTCAGTAAAAAAACCCATTTCCTTAAGTTCACGTAAAGCTCTGTTTAAGGCTCTGCTACTGAGGAGGCTAATCAGGCAGTTGGATTCGGTACCAGTTCTCTGAATTTACTCTCTAAATTAGGCCTGGTTGTATTTTTCTTCTTTGGTCTCTCTTTGTATCCTTCTTTTGTAATCCCTTTCTGGTTTGTATGACCTGGATGCCTGTGGCTTCTTTTGAATCCCAGTGTTCCTGCACAGAGCCAGCTTCCTTTTGAACTCCATTGCCCCCTCAGTTAGAAGTGGGGTCTCTGATACAAAAGCTGCTCATTTCCTCTGCTTCCTCTAGTACTGGATTAGTGCTTCAGATTTCATATACTTTACCATGAACACTTGGCTTGTTTATTCTGCTTCTGAACATATTCTACTTGTTCATTTTCACTTCTACAGAGAAACTGAAAGAACTTTAAAACACTTTAAGACACTTTTTGTTGCACAGCAGTTCTTTAGTGTACATTAATCAGTTTCCCAAGTCATCACACATTTTGGAATTACAGCTGTACAACTGGGATGAGAATATGGATCACAGTTTATATGAAGTTTATCTCCAGTGTCATAAAATGTCATCTGAACAGTACCTTAAAGCTCAGAAAAAAGTGATTGTTTCTATCTGGTCTAGGCTTTGCAAGCTTAGTGTTATACAGTTTACTTATTGCTGGGGATCTAGTTGTGGTAGCTGTAATCTTTAGCATTTTTGTAAAATGAGAAGATAAAGCCTTAGCCTTTGAGTTTGCAAACTGTTACTATTCTCTACATTATTTTCTTCTAGTACATAAATCAGTGTGACTAGGCAAATATTCTGCTATATATACTCTTTGTGAATTGTCTGTCTGTTCAGCTGCCTACAGTTCAGTGTTTTTACTCAGAAATTGCTCTTTTAAAAATACTTCTTTATGTTAATAGCCAGTTATAATCGTGCCTTGTACTGTCTGGAAGCTGAAGATCTTGCATTGTTCTGAGGGAAATAGAGTTCTTGCCCCAGTATATTAGCAGCAGGAGATGAATTAATTTAATATAAAAGCCATTTCTATGTCTGCTGAATCTACTGTTAGGTTACTTAGTAATAGACAAAATTAATACTTAAAATTTCAAGCAAATACAGGTTTTTTTCTTCTGATGCTTACAGGAATTAGTGTGGAATTTCTCTGCTCTCCTCGATCGGATGCAGCAATGGAGAACATTATTGCCTGCTTACGTGCCCTACAGGCGCTTTTTGATGTTCCATGGCCAAGGTCTAAAATAGGTGGTGATCAGGTAATGTCTTAATGATCAAAAGCCCCCCCAGAATTAAGGCATTATTTTAGTTTGAACAGTAGCTCTACTGGGGATATATTAAGCATTTTTCTTACTGTAGGAGTTGAGTGTAGAGCTGCTGAATGTTTTACATCGACTGATACTGACCAGAGAATCACCTGATATTCAGCTTGCTGCCCTTGAAGTGGTTCGGCTGATTCTTTTTGCAGCTCAGGAACATGTGAAGGAAAAGCGGAGAAGTGCAGAAGGTACAGTAATGTATGAGATGTTGAGTACATATTATCAGAGTTAAAGCAATTCTTTCTTAGAAAACTGGATTCTTGAAGGTGGTATTTCAAGATGCATCTTAATTGAAGTGTTTCACAGTCAGTGACTAATCCTGGTTTACTTAAATCAGTCCAGGTGCCTGACATAAGAAATTGAGGTGGTATGATAGGTAGCAGGTGGTTTCAGTGGTGACTAGAGGGCATGAAGTGAAGAGGAGAACTGGAGAAAGTGCAGTTGGGATAGTCTTGTGTGGTGTCAGGGAGGGAGGCATCTTAGTGTAAAGCTGGGATCAGCTGCAGTAGAGAAGTGCAGCTGTTACAAGCCAGACTCCACTAGTTACTCTGGTTGTAACTGAAGTTTCTAAAAGAAAGAAAAACAGACTGGGAGAAGAAACAAAACACTTGTCTCGGGTGGCATCATATTGGCATGGTGCCTCAGCATGTTGTATGTCTAAATCTATTGCACACACCTTTGCCTTTTGACAATGAGTGCATAGTTTGCTTATTCAGAGGATGGATGCTTGCCAGTAGAACTTTGAATGCATGTTCATACTCATATGTATGTATCAAGATTATCACTTGGTGATGAAAGAGTCTTAAGAAGTAAACTTTTTGTAAATAAGGTACAGGCTACCTATTTCTTCTTTTTGTTTTAGTTGATGATGGTGCTGCAGAAAAGGAAACATTACCAGAATTTGGAGAAGGCAAAGATACAGGAGGACTGGTGCCTGGGAAATCATTAGTCTTTGCAACACTGGAGTTGTGTGTTTGTATTCTTGTCAGACAGCTTCCCCAGCTCAACCCTAAATTAACTTACAGCCCTGCAGTTCAATCTGGGAAACATCTGTTACTGTCAGAAGATGGAAGTAGACTGGTAGCAGCAGCATTAGTTATTCTCTCTGATGTTCCTACAATCTGCTCTCCTGAAGGTATGCTGTTTCATCACAAGGAAAGATTAATGAAAGAATATTGGGCTCTTCTGAGCCCCCTTGTTATTACTTAATTTTCTCAGCTGAATAAATCTGGCAGCAAGTCTTGTTGATTTGCTTGTGACAGTTTCCTGTTCTAATTATGTTTTTGACTGTCAGATTACAAAACAAGTTACAAAACTGAAGCAATTAAAGGAGTAGTTTTTCTTTTCCTCTCACGTGTAGCAGTGCAATTAATAGATTCATTTTGTACAGGAAAGTATATCATAGCTACATAATTCTATTCTACTTGAATTGCCTATTCTGGAATTTATAATGCAGACATAAATGAAATCTAAAAGGGCAATACATCATGTTACCTTTCACTAAAAGCCATAATTTGAACATTAGGAAAGCACTGCAAGGAGTTATGGTTGATTTCTCAGATTAGTTGGCTTTTACTCATGATTCATTTTGGATTCAGTCCAAACTTTAAGTTGGTTCCCCCTCCCTAGTATTGTATCCATACGTATGATCTTTCAGTACTGTTACAGCCACACCTATACACCATTTCTGCCCCCCTCCTCCATTCCCACCTTGGGTATCTGTGTTACACCTTATGCAAATTTTTACATTTACCAGCCCTGGAAATTTTTTATTTTTATTTTTTCATAATTTGTTCTCTGCTACAAGATTTTTCTTTGAGGGGTAGCATACTCCAAATTGAATAGTAGGCAGTTCTTGCTGTCATTGTAGGATGATTATAGGGTTTCTCCTTTCTATCTGCAGCTCATTATTTATCGGTTCAAAGCAAAAGGAAACAAACATAACATCACTTAGATCTGAGGGCACCTATATCTTGTATGAAAAATAATCTGTTATTTTTCTTTTCTCCCTGTAGTTCTTTTTGTCTTTAGCTGTTCAAGTTATTCTACAAACTAACAGCTTGCAGGATCAGGCCAGATGGGATGTTTACACTAGAGAACTTAAGCATTTAAGTCAGGTGACTAAAATGAGGAGCTTAAGCTTGCTCCTCATAATTGAATAAGGAAGCATCTCCAAAAGTCAACTTATATGATCAAAGAGAAGATAATTCCTATGTGGAAATGCATCATTTTTTTCCCATTTAATAGGTAACTGAAGTTATAGCCCCATATCTACCATGTCTCTTACTTCAGGCACCTGTCATGATATGTATGCATAATAAAATTTTCAAGTGAATGATGCTTGAAATAGATACCTTGAAATTGAAGGTAGATGTCCTCAGGTTCAGAAAATATACGTATGCATATGTCAGAGACCCTCATCATTCAGCAAGTCTCTCATGAACATCGGTATATTAAAATCTTGAAAACATAAGCATTTTGCTGATTACGGAAGGACATAAGCATATTAAGCCATATGCTTCACTCTTTGCTGAATCAAAACTTAAGACAGGAGCAACACATTATGCAGGGTTCTAGATTGTCTCCAATATGTGTAGAATTCTGTATTACTATTAGATTCAAAGACATGAGAATATGCATAACTCCTATGCCAAAGTTATTCCTGTGATTTTTTTTTTTTTTTCTATTTTTTTTAATAGTCTCTTACTCTGACAGGTCAACTGTCAGATTCTCGGGGAGAGATGAAGATCTGTTCAGTAGGTTGTGGGATAATCTGCTTCTCTCCTTAGGTCTCCGCTGTTCCAAAATGTTTGTTAGAGTTCTTTATTATTCTGGGATTTTGTTATGCATTTTTAATCCAACATCCTCTTCTTACTAATCTTACCGAATTCTTGACTTTATTGATTTCCTGGAGCAATGACGTCCTTGGCTAACCACATCATGTGGGAGAAGTATTTCCTCTTACCAGTTTTGAAACTACCTTCTGTTAATGTCCTTCACTGTTTTGTCTTCATTACAAAATATGCTTAGATGCTCATAATTTGTTTTCTACTATTCAGTACTTTGTGTACTTCCATAGCTTCTCTTCTTCTGCTCCTCAGTGGTTCTGATCTTTCTGTTCTTGCTTTTCTCTGAACATGACACAATTCCACACTTCATGTAATAAAATCATCAAGGAAAAGATATACAGTGGTAATTTAAGAGGAAAAGGTTTAACCTCACTTAAGCAGTCTGACTCCATGTTTGCTATAGCAAGACACATCATTTCAAATCTTTCTTCAAATTACCAGTGCCTCCATTCACATAGGTGATTTAAAAAGATAAGTTATAAATAAGAAGGAGTTTCCAAGAAAACTGCTTCAATTTTTTTAACCTAAAGCGTACCTGAATTTTTTAACTTCTGTGAAATTAATTTGCTTTGTTTTACAGGAAGTGTTTCAGTTCTTCCTACTATCTTGTACCTAATTATTGGAGTACTGAACGAAACTGCTGTGAAAACGCAAGATGGCCAGTTACCTTTGACAGTTGCTGCCTCCCTCCAAGCTCTTAAAGGACTCTTGTCTTCTCCGATGGCGCGAGCAGAGAAGAGTCGGACTGCTTGGACTGATCTTCTACGTAGTGCTTTGGTCACAGTGCTTGACTGTTGGGATCAAGGTAGGCACAAATTTTGGGTTTGTGTGTTTACAAAACAAAACAAAAATGATTGCATGAACAGTTGTTTGGCTTTATTTAAATTAAATTCATGCCTGTCTTAAAAAAATACTAGTCACAGGAGAATTAGTTGGCTACTATTGAGCTGTAATGTTGAAACTATAGTGCAGTCTTGTCCCTACAGTTCATCTGAGAAGCCATGACCTGTAAAGGTATAAAAGTGGTATTGCAGGCTGACCCCTGTATTATGTAGTGCCACAATGTAGTTTTTAAGTTACAGCAGAAGAATATATGTTCTTAGTGCATATTTTACATAACTCTAAAAATAACTCTAAAAAGAAGTTGTACCCCAATATAGCATACCAGCTCTTCAAAGATATTTATTGTACTGTATGCAGAGGAACAATGAAATAAGAGTGTGTTATTTCTAAATATGCATGTAACCACTCCTGAATTCCCATTTTGGGCTTGGCTTTTATTACAGTAAAAGTCCATATTAGTGCATCAGAGTATGACACATATTTGAAAAAAGAGATTCCTGAAGAAACGTAAACATTGATACTTCTGCTCCATCTCTTTGTAACGTTTAAATTCATATAATTACTTTCTAATGCAAATCTAACAGACTGCTTGCTTTATTGACAGTAGATGGGCTTCTACAAGAACTTGATGAAGTTAGCCTGCTTACTGCTATTACTGTATTCGTTATGTCTACCAGTCCAGAAGTTACCACCATAGAGTGCCTTCAAAAGCGTTGTATTGAGAAGTTTAAAATAACACTTGACTCAAAAGATCCTCTTGTGAGTACTGGTGAAATTATAAGAATATCAGTTTCATATTACATAGATTTTAGCTTTTCTGTTCAGTTGCTTCACTTGTCCTGTGTGTTGATTCCATTTAATTCTGTCCTGACTGTATCTGTTGTACTTTAAAATAGAGTTTGAACAAGTTAGCAAGAACATGTCCAACAGTGCATTTTATCATTTTTTATTCTGTATACAATTCTGTATTGCTATGATTTTTTTTTTTAATTGCATCAGACTCAGAGCTTTATACATTGATAAGTACATGATACACTTGGGTAGTTTTTGAGGCACCTGTTTCATTTCATTTGTTCATTTTATCTTCAACACACAGATAATATATTTTGCACAGGAAATCCCTCAGCTATGGGTCTTTCAGAGCTGGAGCGAGTACCACTACCTGACTTCTACTGTCCCATAAGCATCAGCTCCCGGCCACTGCTGGAGGCAGCAGATTGAACTAGATTGATCGTTGCAAATACAAATGGCTTTTCTATGGGTTGGGACTTCCTCCCTCTGAAAGTCCAGCTCTGAAAATAACATGCATTAGATTTCATGTTTGAGATTCACTGTAAAGTGTTTTTCTTGAATCTTTTCTATATATATTTATGCAGTAACAAATAATAAACAGTTACCTTAGCTATAAGAAATTGTTAAAAGAAAGTACTTTTTATCTGTTTATACATTTATAGTACTATAAACATCAGTTTCCACTGATAGGAAACTGGGGATGCCGAATATGACTGCAAGAAAATGGTAGTATGCATTTGCAAATTTTATGAAAGTGTTTGGGCATCTGAGCCTTTCAGAAATTGTGTAGGAACCTGACAGTTTCACTTGTGTTGACTTCCAATGACATGCAAGCTACTCCACCATTTGAGACCTTTTAAAATTGTGCCTACAGTTTGACAGAGGTAATGCTTATATTTTAAGCACCTGTTTTCAGTCAGCTATATTGCAACAGAGTATATTTTCAGAAGAGTGCTAAGACAATCTTCATGCAAAAATAGTATTTTTTGCTTAACTCAAAAAGGTGGGAAGATGTAGGACTCAGTGGAAGGAAACAGGAATCATGATCTAGTTTCTCTTAACAATTTGATTGCAAGTTATAATGCTCCTATAAAGTATTATGCATTAGATGCCTTCGACCTGATGAATTTTCAAGCTGTGAGGCACATTTTTCCCCCCTCTCTAAAATTTTATCTGACACGCTGTGAGTTTTAAAACACTCTGACATATACCTATAACACTTTGTAACTGCAAATTTGATTTTCCCTTTAGGTACAGTGTAAGTGCTACCAGCTGCTGCACTCCGTCTTTCAGCATCCAAACAAAACTGTGTCGTATCCTTATATTCATTCTTTAGCACCATCCATTGTGGGAAAACTGCAGGAAACAGAAAAAGCAAAACCTGAAAATGCAGCAGAACTTCAAGTTGTTCAGGAGGGAATAAAGGTGGTTACAGCTCTTACAGCCACCGCTGAGGAAGAGCACCGTAAGTTACTTCCATTAGTAGCATCCAAAGCATTAGACCTGCTAAAGTTCCTGTAGGTAACAAATTAAAACAAAACAACCACTAGGAATCCAGGCCTGAACACTACTTGCTAACAAAATTGCTAAACAAGAATGTTGGTTCTTTTTACAGTACAGTTCCAATCACATTTGCAGCTTTATAGTTTGTGTTAAATGATACCTTAGAGAAATACTTCTAGTTAGAATTTGAAGCTTTTCTTAAGAAGTGTATGTTTCTGTTTTCAATGTTTATAGGTGCTCATTTGGTGGCCTGCCTTCTTCCCATCCTTATTTCCTTTCTTTTGGATGAAAATGCCCTGGTTTCTGCTACAAACTCGGCAAAAAATCTACATGAGTTTGCTTTGCAAAATCTGATGCAGATTGGTCCACAATACTCATCAGTTTTTAAAAAACTAATGGCTTGCTCTCCAACTATGAAAGCCAGGCTTGAGTCCGCTGTAAAAGGCAATCAAGAAAGCATGAAAGGGAAGACTGCTAAACATGCAAAGAACCCTGGGAGAAGTTCAAGCATTCAGCTAAAGACCAATTTTCTTTGAAGTCTCGCGTTGTCATTTTATGCACTTTGATACCAACATCAAAAAATGTCCCTTTTAATTTCTAATCTGAGTGGGATCGCTATGAGTTGATCTCATATGTTTCAGTTTGCACCGAAGTATTACAGAAAACTTTTGAGAAAGCAGTTCTCTAGATAACTTCCTGCTAGTGTAAGACTTCTTAAACATCTCTAAACACTATGAATAAATCTATAACAGGTCATCTAATATGTATTTTGGATTATTTTGGACTAAAATAGGTTACCCTGATTAGTTTTTGGATTTAACTGGGACATAAATTTACTTGCAAGTTGTAATCTATCCTAATTACTAATTTAACGCACTGCATCATTAAGTAAACAGATTAAATAGCCTTGTAAGCCTTACAGTAAATTATTGTTTATCTCAGAAAACTCAACTCAATAAAGGTAATATCGATAGCTTTAATCCTAATAACTTCTTGAGCTGGCTGAGATGTAACAAATGCTCTTAGACCCAGCTCTACGATGCTTCTTCAGTGAGGACTCCACAGTGCTTTGCACAGTGGGACTGTTATGCATATGTAAGTATCCACAGGCTTGGTGCCTTGCTGCTTGGCACAGTCTCACTTTTCAGGATGTGTACTTGTGTTAGTTTTGTATTGTTCTAGCCAGGCAGTTGAAGCTCACACATCTTGTCCAGGATAGGACAGCAATTTTAATACACTGTGCCTCGATTCAGACATCTGCTCTATCTGGATGTATGTTTCCTGATCTTTAAACGATCAGTTATATATACATGTAACTCCCCTAAATTTATGCATCTCTGGAATGAGAGGTGGACATATTTGAAGTCAGCTTGTCTTGTGTCAAAGTGGAACAAACTCATAATAAGGAGTATTTAATTAACATTTTTACCAAGGAACTTATTTTAATATAGAAAAATAACTGTCAAAATTGCAATGGCTATAAAGTATTTTCTACATATAGTGTATTGACTGCTTTCTTAATACCAGTATTATATAAACCAAACACTATCACGCTGAGGATAGTATTTCCTTCTTGAATCTAATTAATTTAAAAGAAAGAAGAGGGGAAAAAAAAAAGATTTACAGAACTGAGAAACATACTGTGACTCAGGAAAAGTGTGATGTACTGTATTTTATTACAAGTTTTGTATATAAATATAATTGTAAATTGTACAGAATTAACCATTTGACCAAAGTTCTAACAACTCATTTTTCTGATTTACATAAATAAAGCTAATTTTCTTCACTTATGATTTGTCTTAGTCATCTTACCCAATAGCAGAGGAGCTTGAAGGATTTCGGTAACAGAAAGAAAATGTTTGTCTGCTGCCACGAGGAAAGTAATAAGAGATGTTTGAGCTGGACGCACCAAGGTCTGTGACTGGACATTGCAGGTCTTCATCTGTTCTGTATAGCACAGTGAGTAAATAAAGAGGATGAGGGAGACAGACTTCAGATGTGTAAATACCCATTCTTTGCCAAATGTTGAAATGTGTGAACAAGGGGAAGGTGGTTGAGGTGCCTTCCATCTTTCCCCAGAGAACCAGAAGTTCCTTGTTGCACCTCTTTATTGCAGTCAGATCTGTAGCTGTTGCCTGTGTTGTGGCCCACTGTGCCTAAGTGTGTGTATATATACGTACGGGTACATCGTGGAATGTAATATTTAAGTGCTATGCAAAAATTATTTGCAGACAGCTTTCTGTTGACTGCAGCCAACCTGAATTAGTCAAAACTGTGCAAAAGCATTAGACAATGGGATGTGGTTGTTTTTCATTGGATACAATCTGTAGCACTCCAGCTGAATTAAGCAGCATTTCTAATAGTCTTGCTTAGGCTAGAAGGAGTCTGAGACTGATCTGGTGTGCCCCAAGGTGCAGCAGTCACCTCCAGGCTGAGAGAAGCATCAGTCAAATGATGCACATATCGCCATAAAATAGGATTACTCATGCATAGGAAGCATAGCAGGTTTTTTGTTAATAAAAGTCAGTTAATAATTGGAATATCCAAAGGGATTTTTCTGCCCTAGGACTGCCACAGCAGTAACAACATGAGTCACTGCAATTGCAGGAGGGGTGGAGCACTCTAGGATAGTTGCTAGTTTATCAGAAGTAATAGCAGAACTGCTTAGAAGGGATTGGGCAGCAAATCCCATGGAATTTCAGTATAGTTTTAATTTGAATGAAGTTGGACATATCTGTGGCAGTAACAATGTGTGAAGGGTCACTGTGACAGTCTTCTCTAAAGCTCGATCCCTAGTCTCACTGCTAGGTATAAATTTCTTGTTTTCAGCTTCCTGAAATGTAACTATTTTATCAGTAGACAGCGAGTCAGAAGCTGTTTCCTAGAAGAGCATATTATTTCCTAACCATTTCCTAATCAGTAGTGGTCTGCTAATAAACTGCTCGTGTTTTCTTCCAGTGAAAAACCTGGCCAATGATACTTCCAAGCAAGGGGAAAAAATCTTTCAAAAATATCACTTTTTTCAGTTTTTAAATAAAAGAACATACAACAAGGTAGATTATTCTACTTCTCTGCACTGTGGTGTCAAAAACCACAGGAAGAGTCACTCCCTTGTGTCTTGAAAGTAGTGCTACTTGGCCAGCCCTGATCCTGTGGGCATTCCCAGGCACTACTTTTTGCACATGAGAAACCCCTGTGGCCTGATGACACACTGACAAGTGAAGTTGCTCTTCAAATACAGACATCATGAAATAGTTGTTGAGCTGCAACCTCTTAAAAATATCCTTAAAAACAGCCAATAAAGTTAAACTGTACTTTGAGGCATCCAAGTGTTAAAAGAATTGGAGCTGTTGCTGTAGATGACATTTCACGCAGGACTCAAATTCACTGAAGTATGTAGCAGTTCATTTCCACATCTACCACTCAAGCTATGCACTGACAGTGGAGGATAGCTTCAAAGATGTACATTTTAAAAGCATATTTGGCCAGATATGACACACTTTACCTGCCCCTAGCTTATTTTTGTATAATGAATACTGAAAGTTGATTACATAACACAGATGCATTTGATACATTATATTGTCTGTGCAAGGGAACACTAAAGATGCCAGTGCTATGCCTCTCCAAAATGTTGTGAGGTTCTTATTGTGGTTTTGATGTACAGTTACAGATTTTCCCGCCCCTCACCCCCTCAAAAAAAACCAACATGTCCTCTGGATTCTCTGGAGAATAAGTGGTTTATTACATATAACAATGAAAGGTGAATTCACATCTAAATATAGCAAAAGTAGGGCTGAAGATTTTGTCAGAGAAACAGCTCAAAGCAAAGGCAGGCTTCCACAACCTCCTGAAGTCATCCATCTGTGGTAGATTAACCCAAAATCACTCACTCTGCAGCTGAGTATCAGTTTTGCTCTATGGACAATACCCACTTTGATGGTCCCCATCATCTGAAGTTTAGAACCAGATTCTAGGAGGTAGGATGTGGCATCAAATCTCTTCCTTAGTGCTTGGTACTCCAGCTGCTTACTGGTGGCACTTGGGAGAAAACAAATTGGGATGATGGGTATCAGCCACAGCAGAGCCTGCTCTGTCTGCCTGTTAGTGTATGTGCCAGTTTGTCCAGCTCTTGCACAGAAAGACGAGTTGTTTATGTAGGTAAAGAAGTTTGCAGGTGCGTAAGGCCTGTTTCTGAAAGTTGCTGGTAAGAAGCTAAATTTAGTAATGGAAAAGATCAACAAAATCCTACTCTAACCTCCTGCCTCATCAATTGTAATTGTCTAGCCTAATTTTTTTTAAACCAATTTTAATATTAATGTATTAAAATGTATGTGAATTATCTCCCTGCCAATGAAATGGAATATAGAATTGCTGAGATTCCCTGTTGCTACTAGTGGGGTTTTTTTGTTTCGTTTTATTATAACTTTATCTGGGGAGGATTTTGATTATGGTATTTTTGTAAGCATTTCTTTCTGCCTAGTGCCTCAGTTCTCAGTATCTTTTTCTGCAAGAAAAGGAGATTTTGTATGAGACACGTTTTCAGTGGAAGTACAGGCCTCAGAAACTCTGCAAACAATTTTGATTTCTATCTAGAAATAGAAATATTATGCACTTGAAAATAGAGCCTATAATTATGAAAGCAAATGCTCTTAACCTCATCCTCTCTCATGTAAGGTTCGTGGCAACCACCAAGAGAAAGTTGTCACAGATGTGTGCATGCTTTACAGGAACCACAGATACGAGGATAACTGGTTCAAGCTGTTGCCACCAAATTTACCTGAAATTCAGTTAGAGGAATAAAAGAATTTCCCTATAGGAAAAATACAAGTTTTCTTTTATGATGCTTCATTGACTGTATTTATTAAATGAGCAAGGATGGGATGAAGAGGGGTAATCAGAGAGACACTGCAAGTAAATGGTTTTTCACCTCGAACCTGAGGCACGATGCAATCTTGTGTTTAGCTGCCAGGGGGTCAAGTGACACAGTAGTGCGGTCAGGGGGAGGGTGGGAGGGTAGATGGGCTTTCTTTAGTCCTCATTCCTCCTAGTTCCCATGTGAGGCCAACAAATCTGGGAATGATTTACTTTTGTAAAATGAGAATTCTCAACTGGAGAATGAGCAGGAGCCACAACCCATCTGTAGTTCTAGGCACCCTGTGACCCAGACAGTAAATACAGATACATGCCGACCCTCGGGGTCGAAAGGCCTGCAGCCTTCTGTCCTGATTGTCCCACACAGCTGTGGGGACATGGCAAAAAGCCCGTAGCCCTGCCCTGTGGATCCAGGGAGGAAAGACAGTCAGTGGGTGTGGTATGAGCTACCACAGCAGTTTTCTGTCTGAGGGCAGCTGAACCTGGGGAAGCTAGGAAGGAATAACCTTTTTTCCCCAAGTAAGCAATTTCCCACCTTTCTAGTCGGTTTCTTTAAGTACCTGCTCACACAGGCTCCTGGTCTGGGCTCACACTGCACCATGCAGCTGCCGCCACTCAGGAACGTGATGTTGTGTGTCTGTGCTCCTCAGGAACTGCCGGTGGCCTGGATTCATGCTGAGACTGTTGGTAATCAAACACAATTAGACTTAGTGGATAAATGCAAATGATACATAGAAGTGAGTTCTTCTTCACATTGGTCTGTGCCACAATGCAAGCATGTCTCTCCTTGATGTCCCTCAGAGCAGCAGTTGCTAAGCTTGACATCGCATGCGTACTTATCCAGCAGTGTCCTGCTCAGTTCTCTGCACTTGCAGCAACATTCAGAACCATAAACTGAAATGATTTAGGACAAGCAGCAG